TATTATTATTATTATTATTATTATGATGATGATGATGATGATCTCGGGTGGGGGAGGGTTTAACTGTAAAACCACTCGATGCTGTAGGATTTCCTGCAGAATAGTTTAACGGGTTTGCAGGGTTTAGTTCTCCGGGCGACGAAAATGCTGGGTAAACACATATGCTCCAGATTTGTGATTATTCCCTGTTTTCGTTATTCTTCAGGTATTGTACGAGCAACAATAAATATGCATCCATCAGTTTGGTTGTAATAGGCCAATCTCCATATAATAATATTCTAACTAGGCTCAGAGTCTTAGAGGAATATTACAGGAGGAATTATTTATTTTTCCCTCATCCTTGATGCGATTTCTTTTGTATTATTTTCCTAAGCCTCGGAGCTAAGGTAGAATTTCAATGTATGGAGATTGGCCTGCTGTCTTTTAATAAATCAAACACGAAAGACTGTGTTTGACCACATTTCCAAACCTCAAACGACGAACTTCGACGTGTTTGTAAATGTGGTCAAAAACTGTCTTGACAGATCTTCCCTGTCTTGACGTATCTTCCCAATGGAAACGAAGGAGAGCACGGACAAATAAAATCGTAAATACATGTCAATTAAGATCAGATATCCAAACACCGTCATGGTCACGATTTCCTTTGTTTAAAATTGATGAATTATTAACGAGCTTGAGAAATAGATACCTTTCTGACGACCGGTAGATAAACTTGTTCTGCCTAGTTAAGCCTTTACTTTCGCTAAGTTAAAAAGAAATTCATTTAATAATTGTAGTGCTTTTACGTTTGCCAGTAATGATATCTGCCATACTTTGTGACTAGTTAGATAGTAAATAAGTTGATTTCTTTTTCATAAGCGATAACAACGTTGGTATAGTTATACTTACAATGTGTAGATCTCAAGTTTGGATCCAGCCTTTCCCAATTGTGATATATCAGTTATGCGGTTTTTGTACAAGCGCCTGAAAACAATACTTGATAAGCGACAGTATTATCTGCGACAACAGCAACAAAGACAAAAAAGTCATATGATATCATATTAACATAAAATTGTCTGAAAGTTAACAAGCGACAAAAACATCAACAAAACCAGAAACAAATGATATCAACAAATAACTTCCAATGTTACTTTTTTCAAGATATTATTTTAGAGAAATCGAGAACCTGAAAAGTCTAAGAGACTTAATTTGACGGGGTGCAGTGGCGATTCTTTAGTGTGTGTTTATGAAATTTGAGTGACCACTTTTAAGTGCAGCCAGCTACTTAATGTGATTTTTAACAATTATGTATTTGGAAAATCAAAGAGGCTATGAGCCAATTTTGTGACAATTTTGATGCCACTGACTTGAGGTTTTAATCCGTAGGTTAAGTTAAGGTCAAAGCCCACTGGCAAAACGCAACGGTAAATGAATACACGAGGAGATGTAACACCGTTGAAAACATTCATGAGGTTATTGGTGATCCCCGTCCGAGACAATTAGAAAGAACGTATGGCTTCTTGTCCGATCATCAAAGCAAGTATAATCGGATTCTCATTTTCATTGCTATTTTTTCGTTTTTTATTTTCTCAGGCGATATCAGTGATTTTTTTCTTTCTTTGTTACCTTGTGAGAGATCTTGGAAATCAAAAGAAAAACATGGACCTCATCACGATTTTCGACGCCATCTTGACGGGTAGGCAAAGCGGTCAGAAATTACAGTGTTTGTGTGGGGAACAGGTGGCAAATAACTTTTTGCGAAATCGAATTTTACACAATTTGTGAATGGCAATGTTGAAATACTAGGTGGAAGATTGTATTTACCAGGTTTGAAGGGTGTAACTTGGCTAGAAGACGCTCAATAAATGTTTATAATTTTCCATACATTTGTCTGTAATTTTTTTTTCCGCACCGCCGCGTATGCCCAGCCAAATTTACAAATTTATTTGTCATGAATTCCCATTTTACTAGCATTGCTCCTTCTGTTTTGATAGAAAAATAAAAATACCCGGACAAAGAAAGAAGTTCTGAGTCTCTTGCTCCATTGTTTGATGCAGTGAATGGCAGTGACTCCACCTTACAATTTCGGTTGCTTAACAGTGAGGAAGTATATAAAGCCCTGATTGGTTTAAATCCAACCAAGGCTGCCGGGTCTGATGGCGTACCAGCTAGAGCTACTAAGTTTGCTGCAGTACAGATAGCTCTAAGTGTTACATATTTATTCAATGGATCTTTCAGACAAGGTGCTTTCCTTGATTTATGGAAAATTGCCAAAGCTACACCCCTACCAAAAGCTAAGGACACAACCTCATGTGACACTTTCCATCCAATTTCTGTGCTTCCCTGCTAATCTAAGGTTTTAGAGAAATTTGCAAATAAGCAGTTACAGGGTTTTGCCCAGGAGAACAACCTAAAAGTAGAGAACAGTTTGCTTATCAGAAGTTTTCATCTTGTGCTACAGCATTACAGTTCTCATTGATGATTGGAAATGAGCAATAGACAACAAACAAATAAATGCAGCTACATTCCTGGACCTTAAAAAAGCTTTTGACATCATAAATCACAGAACTCTTCTATCGAAATTGAAAAATGCAGGGATAAGTGGTACAGATGGGTCATGGTTACAGAGTTATTTAAAGGATCGGAAGCAATACGTCTTGGTAAATTGTATTCAATCTGAGACCCTCCCTATGTATACACTATGGAGTTCCGCAGGGGATTGTCCTGGGTCCCACCCTGTTTACTGTGCACTACAACCACAAATCAAAGATTCTGCTGTTAGGGTGTTGATGACCAAACGTCACCATTCTTAGCTGTCAAAGTATCCTTTAGGGTGCACTCGAAAAAGATCCGCTGATCTTTCGAGTACGCGAGTCGAGTGTACAAGTGGGCGCGGGATCCTTTCTTAAACAGTAGCTTTAGGGGTCTAATGAAGCTCGAGCAACGGCCACATTGGTCTTTTTTAGGAGTTTAAAAATTCAAATTTTCTGACGAGCATAATTGACCTTCTCATATGGGAGTTCCCCCCATCCACCCGGGGTTCCAAATGTCTAAGAGGAAGTGACCCAAGGAGTGATGGAGTGAAATCGTTCCACCACTACAACTTGAAAAATATAAATATTTTCCAAGTTAAAAAGACAAAATAACTAAACAAACAGTTCAAGAATTAAATGAGTTTGTGTTTGTTCTTATTCAGCTTGTTTCTCTGGTAATAACGCTCAGTGGCGATAACAACTGCAACATTGGATGAATATTTTAACGATTTCCGCTTTGAGCGTTTTAACATTATAAAAGTTACTCTTGTCGTTTTACCTTTTCATAGTGTAACGATGGTTTTTCTCCTTCAGTGGAGTAAAAGTGAAGCCTTGGAGCTGGCTCACAGCTGCCCGAGCTTATTCCGGTTTCTGTAGCATGAAGCGGCTAGGAGTATTTCTACTCCCCCTGGACGGGATGCTAGTCCATCGCAGGTCACTCCCTCGCAGTTTGTTAGGTTTCCCCAACAATTCGCCGGTACCCATTTATACTCCTGGGTGGAGAGAGGCACTGTAAGAGTTAAGTGTCTTGCCCAGAATAACACAGTGTCCCCGGCCAGGGCTCGAACCCGGACCGCTCGAGCGCACTAACCATGAGGCCACCGCGCCTTCATTTAAGTGGAGTAAACGTTCCCGTAAAATTTCTTTTGCCGAATTTTTTTTCTATCAGAACTCGGTGGATAGTGAAAAATCAGAAAAAAAAGTCAACAAAGAGGTTTGTGCCTTAAGGTACGGTATGACATCCAAAATACGATATAAAAAATTGCTTGGCGGTGTGTTTGGTATGGTTTGTATCAGATACAGTAACTAGTTTGTAAATAGTGAACCGGACGCAAAAATGCATGAAATAAAAAATGCATGAGTGGAACATGATTATCGTTCTGTCAACAGTAGTCTAACAGTAGTCTTTGGATCTCAACAGTTACCTTAAATCGGACGACCATTTAAGACTAGGCACACTAGAGTTTTACCATATTATATTCATTTTCTAGGCGAACTTGGCTTTTCAGCGCTGCTAATTTGCTGCCACACTGTGCATCTAGTATAATGTGTTTAAAAAATTGTATATGAGTACTTACATATCCATTATAGTGGATGTCAGGCCAGTGAAATCTGGCACGGATCTCAGCATGTTGTTATGCAAATAGCTACGGTATAAAAGAATGCATACACAGTTATAAAATAGTAAACATTAAAAAAAGAAGACGTGGTTAGGCATGAATTAAGTCATCTTCAGTTTAATTAAATTGAATAGCCCTTTTCACGGTTAGTTTTTTCTCATTTGCATTACCATGTTATCCAACGTGGATGCGAGGCAATTTCGGGCTAAAACTACAAAGTAGCCCAAAATTGTCTGACATACATTCTAGATTATATGGTAATACAAATGAGAAAAGTTAACCATGATAAGAGCTATTGAATGACTTTATTAAAAAAATAAAGTTTTTCAGTCGAGTAACTATCGGCTCAAAGCTGCCCTGCGGACATTCGATGTTCTTAAAACAAATATTTGCTAGTTTTAAGAACATCAAATTTTCAAGGGGCAACTATCAGACCGATAGTTCCTCGACAGAAACATTCTACTGTCTTTACTTCTCACCACTGTTTTTACTTCCGCAAGCTAAGCCAGTTGAAAAATCATATTGAATTATTTTTTAGATGAAAGGCGTGAAAGCCAAATGTAAAATTTGAAAAAGAAAACAGACAAAAACCCGCTAAATGCTGATCAATCATCAATCAATCAATCAATCAATCAATCAATCAATCAATCAATCAATCAATCTTTCAATCTTTTCCTCTGTAAGCCCGCTTGTCTACAGAAAAATTTTTCTCTAACGAGTTCTATCCATCCGGGTATTTTCCTTGGAAGGGCACTATGGGCAGATAGTGTCTCTCCGCCGATGAACACTATCGAGTCATGTGTTTCATTTAAACAAGTAAAAATGGGAGAAAATTTAGTGGCGAACGATAATCAACAATTTTATGAGCTCGAGATTTCTATGAGGTGATAGTTGATGAGGCCGAAGACTGAATCAACTATGTGCCGGCTCATAGAAATCGAGGGCGAATGATTTAATTGTTTCAGTAGTACTCCAACTGAAATTTCCTTTAAGGTGGCCGAACACAGTTTTCGCACGCGCTTTTGCTGATGCAATTCAGCGCACGCACAAGGATTGCAAAAAACAAACATGCCGTCAATAGAGCG